AGTCTTGGTGTGGAAAGTAGTAAGTACTTTCCGGTTGAAAGTAAGGGTGTGACAGCCTCATTGAACAGAGCCACCAGAGAGGTCGAATGTCCTTCCTACTGCTTGACAATTTTGTAGAATTAGTTAAGCATTTTAATGTATGGGGTGGCCCAGCTCAACTATCCTCTTCCGGTCGCTGGCATTTAACTAAGCAGGTCTTTGATGCCAACATCACTTGACTCGAACTCATGTCTGCTCATAATCTTTTAAGTAGCATTCCCCCAGCACCACTAACGAATATTTTCCGTTCAAAATTGGGAATCAGAGTCACCCCTGTAATTGCAATCCTGCATCAAATGTTCACACATTTCCTCCCCCAGCAGCTCTCAAATAAGGCGACTCAAGGTGGATCATCATCATCATTGTTATGATAGCCGTTCTATAATACTGGGTAAAAAAAAATACATACTTGTGTGTCGGTTTGCTTACTTGCTGGTTTTTGGGTGCAGAATTTACTGTTTGGGTGAGATTTGGGGGTATTCTCCTCCCTTTCATCCTGGATTTGTCAATTACTACACGCCGAAATAGGAAAGAAGAAAGGGAGTCGATCACTACTGTACAGAGTCGTAATACTGCTTGTAAGGATGGAGAGGGAAGAAAAGAGGGTTTGAGGAGACGCAGGCAACTCATTGACCCGAACTGTGGGCAAATAACTGTGGAGTTGGAGTTGTCGCCTGGTTTTGCTGCTGCTGCTGCTGCTGTTCCACTATCGACTTTATGATGTACGTGAGCACAAGGCCTAGAATTGCCAGCACTGCCAACAAGGTGACCAATCGGGCCAGTCTGTGATTTTCAATGAGGTTTGCATAGTCCCCGCGTCGGTCTGAGCCACCTCCGCCTGCACTGCCACCATCTCGATGCACTCGGCCTCGATGTCCGCCTGCAGCGCAATTACTCTCGGACCGCCCGTTTCCACCTCTTCCACAAATTCGACCACCGACACCATCATTACAGCAGCAACAGCAGTAGCAAAGCACCTCCATGAGGAGGGCTTTATGGTCTGTGGAGCAATCGTTGGAAGCTTCCATAGCAGCTGGATTGGAAGTAGCCTCGGGATCGGGATCGGAAACAATTTCAGAGGGGGCGCGAAGGAGAGTGGAGAAACGTGTGAGCCGACGGGTAGGGTTATCGGAGGGCGCAGCGGAGGCATCAAATGTTAGGGATTTGATAATCCCATTAGGAAGAATTGCACTTCCACTTCCGCCAGCACCACCAGTGCCGCTTACAGCGGTCTCGTCGGTGCTCCGCTGAACACCGCGCAGGGCGTTGAGCATGAGGGAGGGACGTAGAGACATCCGGCCAGGGCGTTCTTAAATAAAGGCACAAAAGTGGCCACTTGAGTGTTTAACGGCGTATTGGAGCAGAATGGGCAAATATATTTGCTTATTCCTGTAGCATTGTTTGACAACAGTTTTGTCTGTTATGTGTTTATTTGACTTCGAGGCTCATGCCTACCCCTTTAGCTCTCCTTATCTTATGAGTCCACTCAAGGTCACCTAACACTAACCTTGAGCAATTTTTGTACTGCCACTACTACTGCCACCAGTTCTCTTTTCCTCCACCGTGCTTTGTCTTTGAAGAACATTAATTTTACGCGCCACATTGACAAAGGGATTGTCTGTAGTCGCCGTGGCTACAATAACATTTGTGGGGCAGTCGGCGGGATTGCTCTTGACACCAATAGACGGGGAGACTTTTCGTTTGGCGGGGTGATGGAACCGGGAGATGTGATTGGCTCCAACAACGGTAGGGGCAGAGGTAACGGTGGTGGTTGGGTCGAGAATTGTGGGAACCGGAAGGGTTTCCACTGGAGCATCATTTGTCTACAAAGGAAGAATAGAAAAGAGCGAGAGTTTATGGTAGAATACGAATAGACTTCAAGCTGCATTTCGGTATGGAAGAATTTTTCAGCTCTCCTACGTTAATCTGGGTCGGATTAAGTACTAAGCTCAAGCAAATCATGGGACCATTTGGATCGTCATTGACAGAAACACTGGTGCCTTTAAAATTTGGATACAATGGAAACCAATGTCCTACTGCTAATGGATTTTCCATTGGCAGTTTGCGTGAGAAGCATGATCAAGGGACGCCTTTTTGCGAACACACCACCCTAAATACCTCCTGTTGCTGCTGCTTATGCATGGATCGACGGACTGCGTTTGTGGTAGCCATAAAGGCGCAGTCGGACACATTTCATGCAGATAAGTGCGATACCGCACTTACCGTATTGTTTGGCTTGTGATTTTCAGTAAATTCCACTTTTTATCCACCTACAATTCACTCACCACTACGGTAGTTCGTAACGTCTTCAGGCACGAGCCCGCCGCCTCATTCGTGAATGCATTTCGGTATGCCCTTACCCTAATGCGTTGTCACTGGTTTCGGGCATGAGTTCATGCCTTAAGGATGGCATTTCTTTATATATAAATGCCTCATAATTCGCTGCCAAAATTCTTGTCCTCTTAATAAGTGTTCTCAGTGGGTTTGTTAAATTAAAATAAGTTAAACAAATGCATTTTCCAAGTCTGTTGTTCTAATAAGACGGTCTTGAGCCCCATTTAGCAAAAAAGGTCTCAGGTCTATTGAAGTAATTTACAAGTATTCCTATAGACCAAATATTTCTGGGTATTTGTAAATTATACACCTCAAATCCTTTGTTACACGGAGGGCTGTCTCATTTGTGAAATAATGTCTTTGATCTCACCTCTCACTTCTACCCCATCTTATTCATCCATTCACTGTCGGTGTTTTATGACTAATAAATGCTTGTGTATGACACCAGACTTGGCAACGGCAATAGTGGTAGTGCCAAATGGTTCAGTGCTAAAGAAGAAATTAATACAAAAACTACTTTTCAACTTGGATAAAGATGGTAATTATAGTCTTAATTCTTCCTTAACTATGAGTCTAGAAAATATTCTCGCAATGAGTGACAATTATTGTTACTAAATATTTCCAATTGTAACAGCACTTCTGATAAAATTACTGCCAATCAGGCAACTTTTGTGCAAATTTAGCCCACTGAATAGACCTGCTGGTGAATACATGGGGGTCTAATTCGGAGCGGTTACAGTTTCGAGGTTTAGTAACTCACTTTATATGTTATTGGAGTATGTTTTGGAACTAGGAAAATATGTAGAGATCGGTAGTGAAAAAAGTCTCAATTTTAGAACCGTAAGTCTTGCTAGGTAGACTGAGACCTACTATGGAGCCGTTTAAGCTGTACGGCGACCACCTCCTTTTTTTAATTCGCTACATTCACGAAATGGGCTGCCTGCACAAGAGACTCCCTTGGGATGTTTACCACTCTGGAGAAAGGCATTCCTATCCTAGCATTCTAGAAGTTGGCCTTTAGAAGTTACGTTCTCCGAAATTCGTGAACATTCATAGGTTTGCACTCCCGGGTTGTTATCCTCAATGGACAATAGCATATGAAGGCCAACTCTGCACGTACTTATAATTACCGTGAGGTTGAGGCGACCGTCCCGAAATTCTAGCAACTGAGCCAAGAGTCACCTGGGTACGTGCCTAACACCATATAATCTAGCACTATCAGCATCGAAGATTATGTTCTCATTTTGATCTCATTGGCGTCTGAGGTCACTCAACTCGGGGGACGGGTCAGAACAAATGAATTGACAGAAACAGATCACCCCTAAATGACTGGACCAGGGATCACCCAATCGGAAAACGCTCGCATTCCACTTTCCACCAATCAAAAGGCAGGGTAGCAAGTCTTGTGCTTAATTACATAACTACAGTAGACGTCATTTCTTCCAACCCTCGGACGTTGAAGTAAAAAGAGTGGTGGGACTAAAAGAATGTTCCTCTCCACCGTTGTGCTTGGCGGTAAACCAGTTAGATACGCACCGGGCGGTCCTCCTTTACAATATGATTGGCTCTTCTTTCCACTAGTAGCATCGTTGCTGGCCAAGGATCTTTAAATGTCCGAAAAATTGGTGATGAATTTGTAAAACATCCTCCCTTGTAATTATTTTAATAAGCGCATTGAGGGGAGCTGTTCAGCTAGGAGCAGCGCAAAGCCTGGAACTCTTCTTTTTGCAAAGCAGCTGATGGCGAAGATAAAACTGCAGATCCATCCAAACCAATGCAAGGCATTAGAATTTCGGGGATCATTTACCTTCTCGGCCACAAAAACCTATTTGATGGCATAAATTTTACAAGTTTCTGCAAACGGAAAGCCTCTTAACCCTCCTTGCTGTAAATTGCTTCTTCAAAGATGTGACACGGGGAGCTACACAACTTTCTCTTCCATCGGCTTGGGTATCATTTAGTCAATCATTCCACGCCCGGCTTCAAATCTTCACACAATTCACTGAATTTTCGAAAAAATCTCTTTACAGCTACACTCACGCTAACCTCTTTCTTTTCCTCTTTACAGGAGCAATCCTCTGGCGCCGTCGCCGCTGTGGTGGTGGTGGTGGTGTTTGTGGGAGGCGGTCGAAATCGCACTCGCCTGGATTGGTTGGCAATGGGAGCAGCAGTGACAGAGGCGGTGGTTGAGATAGCAACGGCGGTAGGAAAATAGGTGGTCTCTTGTCGCCTTGAGATGGACGGACTTTCTGAGGCGGAGCCGAGGTGCTCCGACCCTGCCGATTCGGTGGAGGAGCAGCAGCATTCATATCGGTTGCTAGGACTGCAGCGGGGGCTGGGTAGGGGATTGAGCACTTGTAGGGACATCTGAACTCCAAGCTTGGATAAAAGAATGAGGAAAATATTTCATTTGTTCCACTCTCCCTAAATTTTACATGACCAAGTTGCCCACTTAAAGTTTTTAAACTTACACCGAGGGAGAGTGATTAGTTCCTCTCGGCTCTCAATTTTCCATGATTTAAAAAGCAAATTTTTAGTAAGAAATCAAGCCTATACTATAAAAGACCTGAAAACTAGTTATTTTAAAGCTAATTCATTTTGCTAGGTTTTAGCGTATCTATGACGTATAAATGGGAGTTCCATTGTCACAAAATTCAATTTCTCTGTAAACTACCAGAATTATTCACTTTTAGGAGGACAGGAAAACGTCTTTAGTGTGCTCTATACTGCCCGTTTACGCGGTCATTTAAGTAGCACTAAAAAAAGCCAAAGTGAGCTGCTAAACGTGGTGAAATCCTAATTAAAGAAATTTTTGCTTCTTAAATATTGGACAAATCACCCGTGTTTAAATAAGATTAAGATAAAACCGACCGGATTGTGAATTTTGTTGAGTCAAACAAAGTGAGACCTAAATTTACTAATAATGCATGAAGAGACGATTAAAGGTACATGAAAAGGAAAGGATGCACTTTTATCAACTCCTTAAAGATGCATCAATGTCAGGGACTTTTCAAGGGCATCAAAAAGAGCGGCTGGCTTGCAGTTTTGCGTTTCACGCTTTAGTATCAATTAAACCTGCCATAACTTAATCTCATGGGGAATACATACAGGTTCTCTTATAACCTTTAAATAAAGTACCCCCAACCCCATTTTACTAAGCGAGGGGACATCAAAAACCAGGGAAACGAATTGTTCCCTTGCTCCTCCGCGCCAAAAAAACATCACGCAATCCAACCTCCAAATGACCCACAAGGCATAAAATATGTGTGCGTTTCTACAAAAAAATCTATTTAAAAGAGAACAAGTTGTAGTCTGGCAGTCATAAATCCCATAATATGCAGCCGACTTGTAGGAAATCTGTCATGCTTAATTTAATAACAAAGAATAAGTCAAGTTTTGAGAAATGCATCTAAAGCCTTCAGGGCGGCACAATGCTTGACCGGTTAGTTGTGACCTTTGGACCCCACCACATAGTCCTCACAGAAAAGATGTTTCTTGACCTCAGAAAATGGTCTTTTGCAGCAGCAACGGTGGGCACACCGCCCAAATTAGAAGTCGTATCGTATTTATGTATCTTTAAATATTTTCTGATAAAAATTTGGTTAAATTTAAATCCTACTCCTTAAAAGACACCAGGAGTCGCAGAGTTGAAATAGTTTTGCATAATCAAATATGAACAACAGGAACGAGTTTACGTCAGTGGAGCATTAAAACACCATTAAATGTATCTATTTTTCCTAACTTTGAATGGGTTCAGAGAGGTGTAAATTTGTTATTTTACAACTCGTTTAATTCCTAAATAAAATCCCAAACTCTGATGGGTTTCCTTCAATAGTAAGATTGCTATGTAAACCTGATAGTTATTAGTAATACGACACGCCTTCTCCAACGCATATCCCACATTTTTAGGCTTTTAAAATACGGACACTCGTATTAAATAATTTTGCAAATTACTTCAATTTTTCCCTCATTTTTTAATGATTTTATTTCCCAACCGACAAGACTAGCCATTTCCTGTAAAAATGAACCTTAGAAACGAAGCCAAAGTTTGGGCTCATTTAATCATTTACTATTAGACCTATCCCAACATACTTTACCATGAAATCTTATTTAATAATAGCTCCGAAATTGTAGTGGTGGGGAGATTTAACACTTTTTGCATGCGTAGGATGTCTTGAAATTGGATCGTAGATGAGAAGGGGAAACTAAATTGATTGTGTCAGATTGTCTTATAGTTGTGCTTTCATGTCAAGGGTAATTCTATAACAAATGGCGCTCTACTCAATTTGAAGCAAAAATCCAGCGTAAGTGACAAAAGGACTTAAAAATATTAAAATGGTACTGATGGGCGTCACTCATGTTGAAAGCAATTAACATTAAAGTGGAATGCTTGGGTGGCGTTTTTGTTAAAATGGACAATGCTAGACCTTAACGGCTACTCTGGGTCATTAGACTGGCTTTAAAGTGGCAACGACCTTGCAAGCATTTAACCTATCGTGTATTCAAGGTCATAGCGTGCTTAATTGCATTCGTATTGAAACAAATACAAAACTAAAATTGGGCAAACCTTTGGACATTAAAGTCCTCTCATTCTTCACTTGAAACGTTATTTAAAAAACTATTCAAGTTTCTCTCAGTTAAACAGAATGTGCAATTTCCGTAAAATTTAAGTAATAACTAAAAGGTATTTGGGGAAAATGGCTTTAGATCTTGTTCAAATCAACATTACCTTATAAGCGGCGATGGGTTTGTCCTAAATGCCTGTTTTCTGGTGAAAGTTGGGTGACTGTTCGATTTAATGTCATTTTTCGATGAAAAGGTATCTGTTGATAGCAGAAGTGACTGGCCAGTGAATTTTTGTCACGTCTTAAGGAAAGTGCGTTTGATAAACGAATGAAGGATCGCTAGTTTATAATCCAAGGATTTTCTTCTGGACAGTTCGAGAACTTGTCATGTTATAACTGAACTTGTGGTCGATGCAAATGGCAAAGGTTGTTAAGGCATGCCTCCCACTACCTGTAGGGTTAGTAAACGCATTGGCTCGCATATTCTGCCGAACTGGGAAATGTGCAGGTCATTACTCATTCATAACCTCAAATGATTCTAGCAACGTATCTGCATTCTATCAGATGGGAGTTGCTGTTATCCGGAAGTAGACATTTTTACGGCAACATGGTCATTTCCGAATTGGCAAATTTACTCATAGAAAAGTGCTGTAGGCTGGGGTGGTTCTTTATTTCTCGTCCTTCCGGAATATGGCCGGACAATCACACACACACACCACCACACACACACACACGCACACACACACACACACCTCGCCACACTGCGCAGTGTCAGACACAATGCAAGTTCTTCCTCTTCAGCATGAGTGACATTCAGGCTTCGCTTTGACACATGTCATGCCTCAAGATTCCTGTCAGCTTCCCCCACCAAATGGCTGCTTTTAAGTAGCACATAACTAAGACAAAAACATCCCCCTTTTCAAAAAACTAACAACTGTACTAAACCTTCTTAAGATTTAAGTCAAAAGCAAACGTTTATTTGATGGGTGTTTCAATTGCATTTTATTAAGGCTACACACATAAAGTAGCCGCATTTTACATGGCTTGTGTGAAAAAACTAAATTCGCACCGGGCATAGCTCCTTCATGCAAGGTGGGCGTCAGTTGCGGGTTGACCATAAAAGTTAAGTAAACTCACACCTTTTTGCGCAGTTTGGGAATGTCTTCACTCACGCATAACGTCGACACAATAAAATATGCTGGACGTTCAGTCGACTCCTCAGCCTCACAGAAACTCAGACAATTCTTGCAGTAATTAATTCATCATTCTTCAACACCGATATCAGGGTGGGTGTGCAGAACCGCCTTATTACCTTCTAATTGTTTAATAAAAAAGGTATTCCGGCCCTTTTATGATAGATTTGGACAAAAAGTTAGTCTTTTTCAGCTGCTCAAAATGAGGATTAACCCTAAGACAATTTCGTCTAACTGATAGACCCATAGTTTTGATAAGTTTTGGAACTAAATATACCACGAAGTAGTACGTAACTCGTAATCCAAAAAAATTTGATTATTCGTAATAGTAGATGACCTAACTTTTGAACAAAATATATTCCGTTAGGATAATTCACCATTTGGAATATTTCAGTGCTGTTTACTCGGACAAAAAAGCTTATTCATTTTCAAAAAATGAAGCAATAGGCTCCTTTAATTTTCTTTAAAAGCCTTCAGGTAGGTTTAATGGCAAGAACTACTTAATCGGGTTTTTGAAATACGGCTGTAAGCTTTACAAAAAGTCCGGAAATTCATTAAAACGCAGATGCTGTGTAACAGACACTGGAAAATTAAGCACTTAAATGAATCCTAAAAGAATAACAACCTTAAGCTAGTATCAAATTTTTGGCATTGATTTAAGAAGGGGTGATATGTACGTCAACTTTTTGAATATGGAGCTATCATCTCTTCATATTAAGGCAGAAATCATTGTTAACTTTCATTTGCTTTCCCAACAAACGTCTAAACCTAAGGCAATATGTTTTAACATTGTTTAAATCACAAAATCCGCAAGCTTTCCCTTTTCACTCATATGATATATTACCTACAATTTGCTACTATAAAGGTGGATCCACCGTAAATTCACTAAAGCAAAGGACTAGTCTTATAAGTTGATTAATTATTTTTTGGTGTCGCTTTCATTTTCCACATTTACGGAAGAAATGAGCTAAAAATGGTTGACAAAGCAGCGTCTAATCTTCGCCAGTTCATCTTGGGTGACTGCTAAATACTCCCTATTGAAGCCGAATTAACTGCTGAAGTTACTTGGTTTGCGCAACAGTATCCTTTAAATCTAATCGGACTATTTGGTCCTTGCCTTCTTAAAATGCCTGCTGTCGAGGCGGTACTTCTTGCATGTGCATGCACGAAGCGTCGTAGGCCACACCAAATTGCTCTCTTAAAGACGGTAACCTACTATGGTGGTGCGTATATGCATAAATGGGGTAGAGTGGAGTAACAAGCCATGAAACTCAAACTCACAATAGTCGTTTGAAAACTCGTTACCAGGACATCCGATTGTAATAATGTTGTGAATGCGCGAGTACAAATATGTATTAGAAACAATTTCGAAACCCTCTTAACTAACGATTGATCTTCCGATAGCCTTTTTTAGTCACACGTTTCATCATCCATTCATTGTGGACCCATAACTCCCATCCACCTATTTCCTAAGTGGGGAGGGCCAACCTAGTCTAGGGCGTCGTCGCTTTTCTTAACCATTCATCATTTGCCCATTTCGTGATTGCCATGACAACCACTTCTCGAGTATCTTACTCGGTGTAATTACGATACAAGGAGAGGGTAGGAATTTGGAGGAGGGGAAGATGCAGGAGAGGAGAGGAGAATTATTTACTCAGATAAGCCGCAGAGACCAGGATTAAGTTGTTTTATTGGTCCTAAGCGTCAAGGCTGTAAAACATCCATAATATAAAATGCAAAGAAAGAGTCGCACTTTCCACAGTTATCGCGCTGACTCTGTGGAAATATTTCACTTGTGCTAGACTTAAAAGTGAGTCGTTATTGTGCTTTGAGGCAAAAATTTCTTATCCAAAAGTCAAATTATGGTTGACAACAGCACCAAGGTGGAGGGAGAAGCGTTTTCTCATGCGCTATTACAGATGCAGGCTGGGAACACAAGTGCGTCCCCATCGCCGCCTTTGGTGCTCGGGATGCTGTTATCCATCATTGAGGGATTTAAATTATGCATTATTATCCCTACTCATGTTACAGACAGGTGCGTGCAAGGAAGTTCCCTTCTTCATCGTAATGCAATTAACTACCCAGGCAACTTCAAACCACGGTGACAACACTCATATCAAGAGGCAGGAATAGCTGGCATGTTTTACAGTAGCTGTCATCGGTAAAAAATTGACACTACAAACCACTATGACACTTAAAGAATAATAAAATAAGCGCTTTCTGACCTAACCCAAATAAATGAATAATTTTTGCCTCCTAGATTTTGGCATATAATTCACTTAAGCGTATATTTTATCCGAATTTCCATTTCATGAATCCTTATTTAAACCTGGTTACTTATTCCTAGTTCTGCAGACAAAGCGGTTATAAATAAAAGTACCATTGTAATACGATGGTGGTTTATCCCCAGTATTGGTGAGGCGCCACTTTTGTACTTCGAATTAGCCCCCTTGTACCTCGCTGGGTGGGCTGGCCTTTTGGGCCATGCCAATAGCCCAGACACCTTCTCCGTGCTGAATATATATATTCTGCCCGAGTATTTTGTCTTCTTTCGTCTTCAGGGAGTCTCGGGACGCTACACCATTTTGCAAAAATTAAAAAATTGGTAATAGGCCTTTAAAATATGCCGAAGTGATTATTATTTGGATTATCTCAAATTTAAAGTGAAAAATTCAACAAGAACGCGGTTTTGTGATTGGCTGTGAGGGAACCACTCAGGAGTCAGCTCCTCATAGTAGCCTCAAACCTACACACCCCTTATTCCACCCATCCGGGTTACGCGTTATCCCTCCGTGATTCCACTGACTTCCGGAGCCTTTTTCGCCTAACACAAGTGAGTACACCAACAGCGGAAGCCGCCGCGATGTCAACATGTGGGCCAACTGGAAGTGGCAGCCACTGAGATTGAACTAACTCGGCCAACTCTTACGTGCCTTCAGCTGCGCTATTTGTCCTCCTCTTAGCTTGTCATTACAATGCTCCCTTCTGTTGCTATGGTGTCCAAACAAAAGCCACCGATTATTGCGGTTTTCATGGGAGTTTTTTTTAATAAATCTCTTCCAATGTAAATCACTGCAAACATAATGCGGTTTTTAGGTATTTGTATGCTTAAACCCACAGGGTTATTCGCAATCCCTTATTGATCGATTTTGGTCTAAAACAAATCATTCACCTTTTTATATAATGCTTACAATCTTTGCTCAATTCTTAAAATGCTATTCATAGCTAGAATACTAGAGTAAGTCTCGAAAAATCGGGCAACTCCTTGATGCTTAAGCCTCTTCAAAATTTTGCCAGGAGAATACACCAATTAAAACCGTTTTAAGAGTTGGAACCGTGGTGATAGCAGTATCAAAAAATCTAAACCATTCAGCAGATAGATTTGTTGTCCAGTGCCTGCTGCCCAAATAATGTGCGACTCTCCTTTACACTTGGGAGGGGTTTTTTGGGGGGAGACTCTGGAGGGGAGAGGGGGGGTCTTAATTCAAAGGTGATGAGGAAAAAGAGAGAGAGAGTAGGGGAGGGATTGCAAAAGCAACCCGAGCATTTTTATGTGGTCAAAAAAGATAGGGCATTCAACTCCTTTGAGGTAGTCTCCAGGGCATCATTAAGTCCACTTCGCTGGCAAAAGCAATTTATGCCATTTTCAAGGCAGGAAAAAGAGAATCATTTAATATGGTTGCAAATATTTTGCAATGAAAAGGTTTTGAAATGTTTTTTAGGGACAAAAGAATCTCGCTTTTGCAGGAAATATGCTCGTTTTATTTAAAGCTTTTGTTTTGAAGTGGGAATATCATCATTTTTGTCAATAAAACTAAAAATACCCTAGGATCTTTGCTTTTTTAGATAAAAAGTTGTAGGGTTTATGCGTTTTTTACAAAGGATCATGTCATAACTTGCAAAAATGGTAATTTAAGTTACAAGTGTTTGCCAATAACAATTGTACAAGCAAAGACACAGTACAGTAAAACAAGAATCCACCCAACTTATAATGCTAACTATAGGTTTTTTTAATTAAAAGGGCCCTTCCCCTCGCTAGCGAGAGCAGGATACACTCTTGATTGAATTTCCTACTTAGGTGCTGTGCGGACGGGTTGGACAAGCCTCGTGACTGAAAGGACCCCACTAATCCTCGAGGAGGCAAACCCCCTAATCCTCCATAAAACCCTGACCATTGGCAAAATCCCACCACACAAGGCAGGCGATCTGCCTCCAGATGGTCGTCTCGGTCCTTGACCATAAAGGTGGAGGTGGAGAGTCAAATTACGGCAAGTATTGCAGGATATCTATTATTTATGAACGAGTGCACTATTTGGAGAAGCTTATGACTTCTCATTATCTCTTACAAGAAAAAGTGACGTTCGCTTTAAAAGTCATAATTTTTCCCTACCTACATGATAAAAAGCTTGTCTTCCTGGAAATTTCTATTGCTTCTTTACATCGGTGCAAAAATCCAGACGAAAAACGAAAAGTGACAAATTTTAAAATGACCATAAGTTAGGGTAAACTATCAAATTCAAGCTCTATGTACCCACCTTAACCACTCAAAAGAGATTCAATTATGCCTTTTTTACTGGTTTTATTTATAAATTTTTGTAAAATGTAGCAAGTCTCTCCCTCGGAATGGAGTGGACTTCCTCTGCGATATTTCGAGTATTTTTTTTCCAAAAGCTCTGAGGTACCCTGTTGGAAGTCTCCTACGTTTAAGGCACTTCTCACCAATCACATGAGGACTTTTATGAATTACAAAAAGTACTTAAAATTAAAAAGTTGTGGCGATATTTTCCTACGTTAATTCAATTCCCTGGACTGCAAAGGCCCCTCATTTATTCATGCTTTTTACTTCAGCAAAGCCACTTTCTAAATAAAAATTACTTCTCAAGGAAATTTATGTATTTTACGAAAACCGTCAATATATTTATAGAAAGGCATGGGTAATATGGAAATACTTAAAAAATTGTACCCTAAAATGTTAGTGGGTGCTTTATCTGATCTTTGAAAAATTAATAACTTTGTTTTGACATCGCGGATCAAATCAACTCCATTAATAGGATTGTTTGAAAACCCCATGTTGAAGTACACATCCACAAATAAATAACATTCCCAAACTTGCTGTAATGAATTGATAGTGTGCAGTGTTTCCACAAAAATCCTATATTTTTTCACTGTAAATCTTGCAAATGTTACAATTTGCCATTTTAAGTTACCTGTGGATAAACTGGCTGCTTACACTACAAAAGGAATCTACCCGTGAAGAAGCTGAAATAAGAGAGTAGTTCAAACGGATTCAATCACACCCCAAGGTCACGTGTTTAACCAAATAAATAGAAAAATCTGTTTTCGTTTATCATGTATTCCTAAAATATTCAGTCTACTAAGACCGGTCTAAGATGTAAAATATAAAAAAGCAACCAGTGGCCTTTTGACAAAAAAACAAAGCGATTAACATCTGCTTGGAATTTACTCAATCGTTTAAAGATGTAAAAGTAGATGTCCACTTCTCAAAAGCTCACTTTTGATCATGCCAGAAGTCAGCCCAGGGGCCTTTACTCCTACATATTTTCTAGCTAAACTCCATACATGGCTGCTGAATTATGGGGCGAGGCTTTGACCTCCATGTTTGTCGATAGCGTTACACGTGTGTCGCGTGTTGTGAGTTTGATATATTGCTGCGCCAAATGGAGTGGTTAAGGTCAAAGCAATAAAGAGGACGCGTGATGCTATTGTAATTTAAGAACAGCCATGCCTCGTCCCAGTTTTGAGAGGAGATCTAAAAGCCATATTTTTGTCATTCTGGTGGTCCAATCTGCTCCTCAGACAGCGGCGGTGAGTATGCCTAATTAATAGTCCCATAACGCCCGGGCGTTATAGGCTTAGCTTTAACCAAAGAGAGGAATAATTTGGTGAAAAATGTGCATTAAGTCGTGTAAGTTGGTAATGTAGGAAAATTGGCTAGTTCTGCCTTCTCTTCAGTATTATTTATTAGTGATAAAATTTACTGACAATCTTGCCGTATTTGAAGACAAAGAGGAAATGGTTAATGAATTGATGTGAAAGGAAGATATCCCCTTGAAGATGAATCAAATTTAGGTTCACTCTTTTTGTCAAGGCAATGTCGTCTAAAATTTGACGAGTGGTAGTAAGGAAACTTTTTTTTTTGATTTAACAAACTTGTGCTAACAGAGTTTTAATAACCTAAGGAATACTTAACAATAAATTGGGCAATTTTGAGAATTAGATTCCACAAGATTTTGAAATTTGGGAAACAACCTAATTGAAATCGCGGTTAAGGTCAGCACTTGGCGCTAAAGGTACGAGTGAGTTTTAGGTCCAGCCGGAATTCGTAGGTGATATGCTACGGTGCCAGTACTACACATGACAGCAAGCGGCAAATTTGTCTCAATAATGACAACCACAAATCACGCCAGAGGCCAGTCCAAAGACCATAAGACATAAAGAATTAATTCCCACTAAGTACGGTGACCGGACGCTATGTCGGTCACCGACCATCTGTCTGTCAGAGGTGAGCCATCCAGTGGTGTTTTCCATGAACCTTCAGAGTACAATGAGCTTAACCCAACTTCAAAAAGGTGGAACGAACTGTAGACCAACACAGAGGCCTTGATGGAGAGTTTTGACAAGCCAAGAAATCTGGGTACAATGTCTCACTCCGGAATCAAAGCATGTACCAGTTCTAGGGTGGTTCAGATGAACTTATAATTCTTCATAAGTTAAAGTTGCTACCCAGGTACGAACTCAAGGCTGGAAGGTCTACGTAAAGGGAAAAAATTACTGCCTATTCTATCCCTCGTAAATTTAAGCCTATGTTATGAGACAGCGTTGATATAAGAAAGCAAAAAAATGGACTACTCACAAGGGAGACATTATAATCCGGTTGTTGGCGTTGTTGTTGCTGCTGTGGAGAGAACCTTTGAAATGCAACTGGTCCAGGTGGTGGTGGGCAGACTTGTAGAGGCGAAGTGTGTCGTAAATTTGGTTCTCCTTCTGCAGTGATAATTCCACTAAAATCTTTTTTCTTTAATATAAGCGATGTTGGTGGTGTCCCCGTTCCTCCTTCCAACCTTTCTAATCTCAATTTTCGCTGTTTTCGTGTATCCATTCTTACACCACCGAGCCTTCACCGAATCTGCCATGGCGCGTGACCAACAATTTTCGTGTTCCAGCCTCATTTAGCAT